AGGACCTGAGCCTCCTGAGGAAAAAGAGCCAGCTCTGCCCCTTCAGGTAGATGGCATCTGTGTTCAAGGACCAGTCCAGTTTACTGTCCAGGTGAACACCTAGTTATTTATAAGTGTGCACCACCTCAATGTCCTTCCCTCGAATGTTGACTGGCTGAAGGGTGGGCCTAGACCTCCGAAAGTCCATGACCATCTCCTTGGTCTTGGAGGTGATCAGAAGGAGGCAGTTCTTGTCGCTCCATTCACTGAAGATCCCTGTACTCCTCTTCCTGTCCATTCCTGATATGCGCCACAATAGCTGTGTCATCCGAATATTTCTGGATATGGCAGGACTCAGAGTTGTATTTAAAGTCGGCCATATACAGGGTGAACAAGAACGGAGCCCGGACAGTCCCTTGTGAAGCCCCAGTGCTGCTCATCACTGTTTAGTAAAGAAAACAACATTTTCTCAAAAAATGTGTGTACTGTATTTGCTATTCATCATGGATCATATGTAAGAAAAGCTGATGGCAGCTGTGTCACTGCTTCGTTTTTCATCTGTGGTTGATGGTTTTTGCTTTTCAGTAAACTGAGCTGCTGGAATCTTTGGTTCAAAGAGGCTTCACACACTAACACACACACACACACACACACTCTATTTTGGATGACTTTTAAATCACTTCCCTTAGGCTACACTGAACAAATGCTATGAGACAAAGAAGCTTGGCATAACACACTTTTCACCCAGAAAAAACAAGATAACAAAACTGAAAGTTAAACGGCTGATATAGTTATTTAAAACTACTGAATGCTCAGAGGACTTTTGAAGCATAATAACATAGATTAAACACAAAACATGTTATTTATTTGTTATACATTGAACTCCTACTTTACTACTACTGATTAGGTTTTATTATAATAACTTGGATTTCTATAGCGCCTTTCAAGGTACCCAAGGCTGCTTTACAGGGAAAGAAACACAAAATAAATAAAGAACAAATAAATGAAAACAAGACGAGACAGAATAGGGATGGCAGAGATTGGAGGAGATTGTAGGAGATGAGGCAGCTAGAGGCCATAGGCCTTGGTGAACAGGTGGGTTTTCAGCAGTTTTTTGAAAATGTAATTTGCAAACCTACATTGTCTGGAAGCTCAGAGCTCACGAGTTGTGACCATAGACTGTAAATTAAGGTGGATGTAACTGGTGATGTCACCCACAGGTTTCTGAAGAGCGGTTTTGAAGCTCAGAGTGAGCTGCTCCAACGTCGCCATCTTGGCAGTACCTGACTCCAAGAACTCTGGGCTAATCCAAAAAGGGAAAAAGAGGTGGGGCTCGTGTGGAGCTAAGACTTTGGTGCATGCCGGTTTGTGGCAAGCATACGCTCACCCACCTGTCACTCAAAGCAGCCACACCCTTAATTTTGCAGAACTTTAAGCCTTAATGAAATTCAAATGAGTGAGTTATATAAAAATTCACCCCCATTCAGTTTTCATGAAAGAGGAAATTAGCTATACAGACCAAAACTGTTTTTGTACCAGGCTGTAAACATGTTTATTTCTGCTGTAAAGTTGGACATTTTAACATGGGAGTCTACGGGGATTGACTCACTGTTGGAGCCAGACTCTAGTGGTCATTAGAGGAACTGAAGTTTTGGCACTTCAGTGTTGGCTTCATGTAGTTGGTTGTGACAAAGCTGATGTCCTTTAAAAATGCTCCAACCCTTTTAAATTTTAATATTAATTTTGTGTTATTAACCCATCTCCTGTGTCTCAGATCATGAAGCATCTTTGTCAGGTGACATCAACCAGAATCAACCAGAATCAGAGAGAGCACAGGTTTCTGCATCTGTGAAATCATCCACAGATATATTAAACCCCAGGTTTAAACCAGCCTCTCAGTCCTCGTGGAACAGTCTGACATATACACCCTATATCCCGAGCCTCTCCACCTGCTCCCTCACTGTTGTACATCTCAGGCTCACAGGTGAACAGAGCTCGTTGCCCTTTCATATGTTGGCACGTGGTGGAGTTTGAGTCTCTAACACTAAGAGACGAAGGCGTTGACGAGCCGGCCCAGCAACTCAGCCCATCTCTCCGGTGCTGTTTTATTAGCGTTACAGCTGCCACCGCTGCTGTCGTCAGCGTCGGCAGCAAATCCCTCACTAATTTAGCAAAACTCAGAAGCATCTGCTTGTTTCCTCACACGGCAGTTTAGACCAGCACCCATTTCTTTGGCAAGATGAGACGAGGAGAGACAATTTCCTCTTGAAGTTTTCACCCCTAGTGTTTAGTATGAGGCTGCTCATTTACTTTGTCATTTGGCAGTTAAAGAATGAGACACATTTCTCAAAGCAGAATAAAAGATTTGTTTTAGTTTTTAAACCCTGAAGAAACAAAACATGTAAATTCTATACATAATTTGCCATGTGCTTCTTATATTTATATTAAAATATATATAATGTGAATATTCATGTCACATGAACATTTGGGCGTAATAAAAACAGCTCTTCCCTCTAATTGTTAGTTTCAGCTGTAGAATTACAGCAACAAGTAGCTCTCAAACTTTGGCACATGTTCTGTAACAAATATGTCCACATTCCTGGATACCAACATTAGTGTACTGTCTGACCGCTCCTGGCTTTGCACGTCTTCTTACCACAAAGACATTCGACAGCTTGTATTTACTATGAATCTGAAGTGACATGAACACAGTGTGACCAGCAGCCCAGAGTGTCTCTGTTCAGTGACTCTTTACAGTTTTCAGTCTATCATCAGATCTCTCTGCATCAGACTGTTCCTCTGTTTATCCTCATATAAATGCATGAAATCAGCTTTTTGTTCAACATGTTCTCATTCCCGAATTGTCACATAAGGACCCTTAGTATCACATTTTTAAGGCACTGGGTCTCCTATTAGCCTTATTTTTTAGAGTGCAGAGTCAGTGTATTTTTTGAATGAATGAAGCTCTACATTCATTAACACATACAAAGTGCACGAATGTCACACTAGAGACTGGGGTTCATATCCAGTCTGTTGCAGCAGAGAACATTGGAAGTCTATCAGACTATCCTGTCCTTGAAAGATGACTGTAATTGGTACCCAGTGTGTTCAAGAGTGAGGGCACAGGGACCTGAACAAGCGTTTGTATGTGACAACTCGGGAGTGAGACTGTCTTTGTTTGGCTCCTCTTCCTAAGCCGTTACAAACTTTAAAACAACACACCATCGCCAGAGACTAATCAGGACAGGACACAGAACTTTTTTCTTTTTTTCTTTTTTTTTTATGATCTTTAGTTTGATAGTTTCATAATGGTGTTTAGTATGACAAGGTGTTGCGATATGAGAAAGGGATGTGTTTTGAGTGCATCATCAGTCCATATTTTTTCAACTTTCTACAGGAAAAACAGAAGCTCATCAGTCCCCATGTTAATGTCACTTTTAACAGGTAACAGTTCACAAGTCACTGTAGGAGCTGTTGCAAGTTATGTTGCTATGCAGCCTGCTTATAATTGTTTCCTGGCTGCTGATTAGGAAGAGACAATTGAGGTGTTGAACTAAACTATGTTTGAGATCCATGTTTAGTGAATTTAAAGGCCCTGAACACATATGTTCTCAGTTTGTTTCTTACTATGAGCGAAGTCGTCCTAAATGAACATGCACTTCCTCTGAAGCAGTTTTAATTATGTCACATGAGACTTTTCTTCCTGTGCTGTTTTGTTAGTGCAGTTTGAAGTGGGCGGGGCTCAGCTGAAATCAAAATTTGATGACAGTTGTGGGTGTGTTTGTTGCTGTCGATCAAATCTGATTAAATTACACCCACACCGTCCTAATGAAGCTGATTACCTTCTGATTTGTTCTAAACGCTCAACAAACTTTGACTTTGATTCTTGCTCATAAATAATTGGCTTTATATAGAAACGATTTTCCCAGGCTTTATCACATACCTGCCAGCCAAAGTCACCACATAAGCATTTCGTAAAAAAGAGCAGTTTAAATTCAAAGTGGAAGTAATGTATATTTTATCATAATAATGTATCAAATGGAAATGAGACAGGGTTTGCTCATAGTCATGAACCTACATTGAATCAGAGAATAAGCTGAATCCACAGCTCCCCTCAGCTTTACAGAGATTCATAGTGAGTCTCAGCTTATTGTTTATCTGTGTGGACACATCTTTAAATGTTTTGCTTCGCTCTCACTGCTCTCCTAACATTGTTTTTGGCCGCAGCACGCAGCTGCTTTCAGAGAAATACCTCTAAAAACCCACCGTGTACTACCTGCTCATCACCAAACAGCAGACAGACTCAGTTTGAGACGAGCTGGTGAACATACTGGAACATTTAGCTTGCATTATTCAGTATGTAGCAACACTTCTGGGATCTTGTTTTTTTTTTGTACTTCTACCCGCCTCACTAAACTGCACCTGTCAGATCAGCTGGAGCCATGCGCTTCCTTCCTTTGTGAACTGTTAGCATTTTCTTGAATTAAGTCAAACTGTGGTTCATAGTCAGCACTAGATAATCCAGTCCATACTGAAAACAAGTCAGATTGGATATATAACATTATCTCACTTAGACCCAGATAGCTAAATAAATTAGGCCCATATGTGAGCCACATGCTTGTTTTCTTCAGATCCAGTGTACGCCCGATTCCACGGCCCAAATCTGGGCTACTTCCAGTCAACTGTTAGTCAATACCGTAGGATAACAGCTGGACTCTGCAAAGATCTGGACGTATGTGGGCCAGACTCGGGCCGAAGACCCTGGCATATGTTGGTCAAGGAGTTTCATTTTGTTATATGGGGAGTCTTTACAGAGTATTTCCCTGAAGAATTGGTGGAGACCAAAAACAGAGCTAAAACAATTGAATACTCTCTTCTCATTGGGCGAAAAAAAACCTTTTTGACTTGTCCACAGTCCAGTCATGACACTTTTTTATTCGAAAAAGTGGTACTCTACAGATGAAACTTGTGAAACTCTATGTGATATTTTGCATGTGTGTGTGTGTTTGTGTGTGTTACAGAACCCTACAGCCCAGCGGTGTGGGTGATGATGTTCGTGATGTGCCTGTCGGTGGTGGCTGTCACCGTCTTCATCTTTGAGTTCTTCAGCCCCGTGGGATACAACCGCAGCCTGCAGAGCGCCAAGAGTAAGAGATGGAGTCGCTCCGGCGTCTGCACGCCAATCAACCTGCCGCCCGTGCTCATTTCACAGCATTGTTACTGACTTGTCACTTCGTCAGTTATGTAAGCGAGGGTGGGGGAGAGGGCGTTTGCTCGAATTATGCAAAGCGTCCCACTTTTCTTGACTGCACACGAGGCAAAACAATCACTCCACACCCACCATCCGGCGTATTTATCTTTAATGAGACAAACACTAATGCTGGTGGTTGACTTTGACATTTCTACAGTCCTTGTCAGTTCATCATTTATTCCAAACATTTACAGACTGCTCCTCTGCGCAGCTGCATTCATTTTAAATAACCATTTAGAGATGTTTGTCATTACTGTCTAATAGATTGACACAAGTGGAATTATACTCATTTGAAGTGACAGTTCGGTGTTTCTTCATGACTGGTTGTAAGATGTGTAGCTTCTTCTGTGCTAAAACACACGTTTTTTTATTCTTATCTCAAGACTTCCATAAAACTGTGTCTGATAACAACACATCAGTGTTTTCGCACTTTACCCGTGATCTTATGACAACTCAAAGAATTACAGGGAGGGTAATTTCAGTTCAAAAGCAGAAATGAGTCAAACTGACCACCAGCTTGGAAGTTTGTCAAATGGGTCAGCACATTAAGATCTAGCCGGACGAAGCACGAAGTACGCCGTTGTCATCCATCTCCCACTTGTATTCGGGTGACTCTCTTTAATATATATGGTTACCAAAGTTCACAAATGAACATCCTTTTAAAATATAATTTCAAATATCCATCCAAGATTTCTGCCCCAACTCCAATACAATGGAGGTAAATGGATTTTCATTTGTGGCACTCAAAGTAACAGGAAATGACACAGTGCACATTTTTCATTGGGACTACTTTCAACTGAAGAAGTAGTAGAGCAATAATTATACAACGAATAAAAACTCTCTGCATGAACAGACACCACCAGAATTACAGTAAGTGGGAAATGTTCTCACCCTTCCTTTCATCTCTTTGAGCTTTCAGAGTTTTAATGACCTTTTAAGCAAAATTAAGTCTGCTGTTGGCTTTAATAGATTCTTTTCTTCCTTCACGTCCCTGCATCTTTTCATCAATACATTCAGAGTTTAACTGCCCTTTCACTGCAGAACAGTTGACAACTCTTATATTCTCTCCCTCTATCCCCAACCATCTCATCGATAGCCTCAAAGAATAACAACTCTCTTTCCAGTAAGAGATGTACCTCCACATTTCATCTTCATTAATAGCGATTCTACATTCAACACAAGGGAGTCTGCTGCCAGCTTTAATCTTTGATAACTCCATATAGGTCTTTGCTCTTCCCCCTCTTAAACTCTGTCTCCCCTGTTTGAACTTTCAACATCAGACAGCTCTTAGATCACTGTGGGGCAGTGTGTCCCGGCAATCACTGCAGCCCAAGATCATAACGAATATATACTATATGGCCAAAAGTATGTGGGCATCACTGTTGCTTCTGTGTGAACTCCGTTGAAGGCTGTTTCCTGTTTCAACATGACAATGCCCCCAGGGCCATAAAGAAATGGTTTTCCTGGACTGGTCTGCACAGATTGCCCTGACCTGAGCCCAATCCAGGACCTAAGCGATGAACTGAAACACCAACTGCGAGCCAGGCCTTATCATCCAGCATCAGTGTTGGATGATAAGGCTTTCTGGCTGCAAATTCTTACAGCCAGCAAGCCAACATCTGGTGGAAAGCCTGAAACCAGAAGAGTGGAGGCTGTTGTAGCAGCAGATTAATGCCTGTGGTTTTGGAAAGAGATGCTAAACCCTCACATATGGATGTAATGATCGGGCACCATGGGCTGTATTAGTTGCCTAATATCACTTTCAATTTTCATGTTAGCAGCATTTACTACAGCAATTACTATACTGAGTAAATGTGAATGGTTTAGTATCAGTGACCTTCATCTCTTTAAAAATTAACTCTGTCTCTCTCTCTCTCTCTCTCTCTCTCTCTCTCTCTCTCTCTCTCTCTCTCTCAGAGTCGGGTGGATCTAAGTTCACCATTGGGAAGTCGGTATGGCTGTTGTGGGCGCTGGTCTTCAACAACTCTGTGCCTGTGGAGAATCCAAGAGGAACCACCAGCAAGATCATGGTAAACACACCACCTGAATCACTCAGTGACTGCCTCGCTCATCAACTAATTGAGTGGCGGATTGTTTTATGTATTCACTAGTTGGATGACTCGACATCCAGTAATCATCAATAATTTGGTCTTTTTCAAAAAAAATTCTAGAGATATAGCTTATAGTAATTACAGATGTTGAAATAACATAAATGTTCTCCATATTGTGAACAGATGCCTCACATTAAAATATAGTCAATATAAATGCTGTTATGTGTAACCTAGACGTCTAAAAATGTCCCTTTCACAATCAGTCAGCCCAATTACATCAAGGTTTTTTACTCACCACAATAATTAAAGGTCACATATTGTCACTTTTCCAGTGTTGATATCCATAAGAAGATATATTTGTGGTTAAAAAAGAACTAAAAACCATCTCAGTGTAGTTTTACATCAACATCTACATTTACATACATCTACATACATTTACATCTACATTTACAACAACAGGTCGGTGAGCCAATCAGAAGAGAGGAGGCTCTGAGCTTCTCTTTTGATTGGCCGACTGTTTTCTGAGTCGTCGTCGTCGTCGTCGTCGTTGTTGTCGTCGTCGTTGTCGTCGTCGTCTCCCGCTCATCCGGATCCGGGTCACGGGGGCAGCAGCCTCAGCAAAGAGGTCCAGACAGCCCTCTCCCCAGCCACTTCCACCAGCTCCTCCGGGAGAATCCCGAGGCGTTCCAAGGCCAGCCGAGAGATATAATCCCTCCAGCGTGTCCTTGGTCGACCTCGAGGCCTCCTCCCAGTGGGACATGTTTTCTGAGTGAACGAATGAAAATATAGCAGATTCCAGATAAACACTCAGAGAAACCAAATCATGCAAGGTTGGATGGTGGGGTCAGGTTGGAGCATGGCAGAGAGCGGTGACTGTATAGTTGTGACGTCACAAAATTACAAAAGTCCTGATGGCTTGTTGTAAGGCTCAGTGTCTTGAATACAGGCTGTGTGCATTTCTCTGTGGACTGAGCACTTTGATGCTTTCACAGTATTAATATAGAACCTAGACCTGCTTTATAATCAAACATCTACCTTTATGCTATATGCACCTTTAATGACTGCAGTCTATTAGTCTTTAGTTGAACAGTTAATATCGATTGAAACACACACACACACGCACACACGCCTGATTTGCATGATAAAGAAAATACTCAAACTTACAAGATTTATTAACCGGTGCATCAGTTCAAGAGTGTTCATTCACTTGTTTCACCACGGTGGTCGTTTTAGTACCTGCTGTTACGACATTAAAAAGAGAAATCAGTCGAAGGCTTTGCCCCTTCCACTGCAGAGCAAAGAGCCACGGGAGGCGAACAACTCAAGGTGTCTTTTTTTTTTCTTTTTTTTTCTTTTGACTGTCTGCCGGAGTTCTTTTCAAAACAACCCCAATCATCTCAAGAGCTCATTAGCTGCGCAAAAGGCTTTAGAAAAGGGGTCAGAGGGAAGAAGGAAAGCTGATTATTTTTTAGCTCTTTTTGTTTGACATGTTGTTTTGGTTAAACTGTAGGTTTACTGTATGTCAGCCTGAAGATAGAGCAAGATTAAATCCGTTCCTTCCATTCAATTGTAGAGGATTTTTTACAGTAGTACAGTAAAGAGACAACTGTGTCTTCAAGAAAAATTCCTTTGACAGCCGCATCACTCGAAATCTGATCCACTTTCATAACAGCTAAAACATCATATCAGACAACCAGAGCTAATCACAAGGAACAAAGGAAGATTACAAGATAAAGTTAATCTTTAATGGAGGCTTATTCTCTAAATGACTAACATTTATTTGTTCTTTCTTCAAACCTGCTTAAGCCTATTCAGGGTCGTCAGTAGACCCTGCATGCACAGGATGGATAATTGACAACCATATATTATTGATATAATGCATTAAAGTTTTAAATCAGTCCAAGCAGCCGGTCCGTCCTTCAACCCTCCTGCTGAAGCGTCCTTGAGCAAAAAATTTAGTCCTCATTGGCTAAGATAAAATTTTTTTTTTAAATTCTGCCACAAGTTGCCAGAGTTTAGAGTGTACATTTTTCATGTTATTCATTAAGGAAATTATGCAAATAAATGTTTGGCATCAACACAGTGTACTGTGGAAGCAAATAGCCCCTGTTCATTACCGACTGCAAGTGCAAATTTAGAGCTACGACTAATCCACATCGCTCGCTTGCTTCCTGGCTGAATGTCAACAGAGCAGCATCTTTCTGCAATAAAAGCAGCCAAATGTCTTCACACCAAGTCCTTAAACCACCTCTGGAAAAATCTTTTATTTGTGCTTCGGTAATTCGGGTCAGTTTGTGTTATCCAGTGGTGGGAAGTGTATTCAGATCCTTTACTTAGTAGGCAATAACACAGTCCCCCATTAGAGGTGAAGGTCCTGTGTTCAAATTTTTACTTGGGTACATATTCTATAAGCAAAATGCACTTAAAGGACAAAGCTGGGAATAGTCTTTATTTTTAGATTGCACAAAAGGACCAAAACTAACAAGTAAGCCTGATATTTCTGTGGACCACCACTGCTGTCCAAAAACGATTAAAAGATTTGTTTCCGACCTCTGACGTCTCTGAATCCTCTTATTCTTTCATTCATTGTGGACAAACCACATTACATTACATTACCTCAGGGATTTCTACCCACTCAGTATGACCAGTGCATAAACACAAGTAAATTGTGCAGCTGGGACTATGTAACTGCAAGCCACCGCATGTCACTTTATCATTATCATAAATTTAGGTTTGAGTAAGACAGGGACAAATGCTGAGGTTACAGGGATGTTTCCTGGAGGCTGACAAACACGACTCTACCCTCCAGGCAAGACGGCGCTTCAGCTGTGGGTTTTAGCAGTGAAATGCCAGGAAGTGAAAATAATGTCACTGGAATCTTAAAATACTTCCACACCTGTCAGACTCGGCCCTCGTTGATCTCTCCCCCGTCAGGTGCTGGTGTGGGCCTTCTTCGCTGTCATTTTCCTGGCCTCCTACACTGCCAACCTGGCTGCCTTCATGATCCAGGAGGAGTACATCGACACGGTGTCAGGGCTGTCGGATAAGAAGGTAGGGGATGAATGGATGGATGGATGGATGGATGTATGTATGAACGGATATACGAGGTGATTGATGGATGTATTCATGAACAGGTGGATGGCCAGATGGACTGATAGATGAAAAATTTGTTGTTTGCGTAATGTAAAACCTTAAAAAAAAAAAAAAACATTCAACGCTTTTTGTTAATCCTCAAAAGTAAATGGAAACAGATGAGACAGCAAACGTCCTTCAAAGGTTCTTTTGTTTCACGTATTCCTCCAGAACAGGTGGGCAACTTTGGAAAGACTCGAGTTAACAAAACAAAAAGTGAGATACTGTATACGCTCCGTGGAAATGTTCTCTCTCCGTGTTGTCTGCTCTCTTCTCAGTGCAGCTTCAGCAGAACCCACAAAACTGTATCCTGCTGCTCTGACACTTTAAAACCTTGTCTGTTTTATCGTTCTCGCCCCTCAGCTCTTCAGAAAAAAAAAAAAAAAAAAAAACTGTAGCGCAGGAGTGCCCCGCTTTGAAAGTGAACACTTTGTAGCAGTTCATCCTGCAGCAGAGTTCAGCTCCTCTCTCCCCCCTCTTCCTCTACCTCTCTTTAACCTCCTCCATTACTTCTATCGCTTTAATCTCCACCCACCTTCTCCTTTCTTGTCGTGCAGTTCCAGCAGCCGACGGAGCAGTACCCGCCGCTGCGTTTCGGCACGGTGCCAAACGGCAGCACCGAGGAGAACATCCGCTCCAACTACCCCAACATGCACCAGTATATGATCCGCAACAACCAGAAGGGTGTGGAGGAGGCCATTGACAACCTCAAGACCGGGTAAGGAGAGGAAAAGAGAGGGCGCAGGGGGAAACAGGAAACAACTACGGCAAAGACAAGTTGAAGGAATTAGATTTTTAAGAAGACCTTGCTTAAATGATAAACTAGGACAAATCACTAAGTAAATAAGTGAAAATAGACCAGCTAGCCCTGCACATAGTCACTAGCTGTGTCCCAATTCAGGGGCCGCAAACTTCGGAGGCTGCACTTTAAGACCCGATTCCGTCACAGCAGTGCAACCAGGCTGTCCCATTTTGAATAGTGATGTGCCGGTTGCAGATGGGAGCAGCTTTTTATTTATTTATTTATTTTTTGTAAGTGAATACAAGGCAGAATGATAGGTTGATCTTCTCCGCGCCACAGGCAGATGCACCGTGTCTGCTTAGTGTTTGTAGCGAAACACTAAACAGTGACACTAATCAATTACATTGAGTAATTTAAGTGATATATGTGCACACATACTAATTATAGGTCAAAAACAGCGCTAAATTTGGCTGAAATATAAAAGGCTAAAGTGGTTAAAATGAAGAGCCGTTTGGGAGGCGAGAGAGCCGGCTCTTCTCGGTGAGCTGAGCCAAATGATCTGGCTCACTGAAAAGAGCCGGAATTCCCATCGCTGATTCTAAGGCTCCTTCAAATGCGGCCGAGAAATGTGGCTGTCTTTTCCTGGGCATCAAAGGATCCAACGGGTGGGTCTCTCATGGCCCAACCCATCCCAAGAGTCATTTACACACCAGTAAGCAAACAACACCGACAGAGAGTCCAAGGATTACTCTTTTAAATGTAAAGTATTGGGTTTCAGCTCAGTTCCACAGCTAACACTACAGCTGGTAAAACCAAGAGCCTTAAAACCTGTGAAAAAACCCTGTGTCCTGCAAATCATGCTTCTATACAACCCAACTGCAACAGCAAATACGTTTTGCAGGAAGTGTAATCTCTGGTTGGAATATGTTCAGAGGCAACAAATTAAACAGCCAGAGGAGCAGCTAGAAGGTGGTTAGGGGGGATCGGGGGCGTACAGAGTGTAAGACTGTCACACCAGAGATCGGGTTCATATCCAGAATCCTCTCTGTGGTTCAGGCACTAAAAGTTTGGTGGTTTTGTTAAATGTAAATAAACTTTTTTTTTCTGTATTAAACCAGACCAGGTTATTTCGCAAACCTCAACCAAGCGCTGTGAGAGTCTGATAATGCTGGAGCCACTACAGGTGGATGTTGTCCTGCAAGATCTGATATTTTGTCAGAAAACAAACTGTCTGTGAACATTTTACTGATACGTGCAACTTGCAAAATATCTAAAGTAACAACATATCCTCGTTCTGTTTAAAGAAATTGTCAAAATCCAGTCGCAATTATGTTTCCTACAAAGCATATTTGCTGTCGCAATTTAGTTGTATAGAAACAAAATTTTAGGGAGACAGGGTTGGTAGTTGACAACATAGAAGAGGAAAAAAAAGAGAGAAAGAGACTTAAGAAATGCAGTGACATGCATCAGAAGAGTATTTTCTTGGAGTTGGTGTGGATTGTTCAGTGAGGTAAATGAGTAACAAATGTGTAAAACACTGCAGAAACACTGCTGGTGTGGATGGAGAAAGAAAAATGGAAAATGGTGCATGAGGCTAAAGCGGAACAGAGAGCAAATATGTTACATTAGAGTCAGGGAGGAAAACAGCAGGAGTGTGGAGTAAAAGTCAGACATTGTTACTGACTGAAAGTAGCCGGGCTGTGCCCACAGTAAAAGTCTTGTTACTGCAAATACACATCCGCTGTCATCCACTCTTTAGCTTAACAAGATCTCCTCTTTCTGCTAAGTTCCTCCTCAGTGGATACCACCTCTTCTTTCTCCCCTGCTTTCATATATTTTTTATATTTAACTGGAGGCTACGGTGTTGTCCGCACTTCGTTTCAATTACAGGACTCAACCAGCTGGATCTGCTTTGCCCCGGGAGCCTGGGCTAACTGTTGTAACCTGTGCAGCCTCATCAGGATCATGGCTACCAAACCAGACGAGAGAAGAACAGTGATGGGGATAAAAAAAAAAAAAAAAACTGTAGTTTTAAATAATACATGCTAGTAGGAGCAACCGCAGTGCGGGGGGGAACATCCCGCCATCTCAGCACCGGCTGCCACTCAGGCGCCTCGTGTCTTCAGGGGGTGGGGGGTAGGGGCGGAGGGTGGGGGTAGGGGGGTTTATTATCTGCCTGTGGGGCCACAAAGTACACAAAGCACTCGCCATAAAATATACACTTGCTCATCATGTTGGGACTGGGAGGTGGAGGGCAGAGAGGAGAAGGAGGGGTGATGTTAGTTGATGTAGATAAGTGTTCAAATGTTTAATGGGACAAGCAAGCGTATACACACACACACACACACACACACACACACACACACAGCAGTCCTTAGCAGATTTGACGTACCGTGTTATTAAAAGTCACACTCTTTTTTTTATCATCCTTGTTCCTCTTACATCATTTCTACCTCTCTCCATCTCACTCCGGTGCCTCAGTCTCTCCACCGTCTCTCTCATTATCCGCTGTTTATCTCTCTTTGGTTAATATTCACTCCGCCTCTCGTCCTGACGTTATTTATGGGGGAAACATTAGTTTACGCCGTTGTGGAAAAGTGTAGCGAAGGTCCCTGTTTGATTTGGCTGTCGAGGTGCCGAACATCACCTCTCCATCTCTGTCTCTTTCACCTCCTAACTCCTTCGTTCTCTCTTTAATCCTTTTTTCTCTCCCTCTCTCTCTCTCTGGCTCTTTCCTCCTCTCTCATTAACTCTTTGCTCCCAGCTCATCAAGTCCTTTTGCTTCTGCTTTGCACTTCCTTCCCTTCCCTGCAATCATTATCTCCAAACCCCCCCCGCCCCCCGCCCCTCTTTTCTCTCCTTTTCCTGTCACCCACCTCCTCCCCCTCCTTAACCATCTACACCCCCACCCCCCTTCACCTCTTTTCAATCTTCCATCCTTTAGCACAGCCCTACTCCTCCTCCTCCTCCTCCTCCTCCTCCTCCTCCTCCTCCTCTCCTTCCGGGAAGAGTTTGGTTGTACAGTGCAGCTCCCTCAGTGTGAATGTAAATGAATGTGAAGTGGAAGAGCAGGTGTAGTTACAAATCCATCATCACATCCTCAGATATACATCATCAGTCTGAACTGAGCTCTTACATTCAATCCATTACCTCATGATGAACGCTTGTAACTCACATTTGTCGCACATTCGTTTTACTCCAACCTGCCTTTTCTGCTTCTGCAGCAGTGAGTAACTTCAACAGATGCAACTGATGATATTTTTTTTCATTATAGTTTAATCTCTTGATTATTTTTCAGTTAGTTTGTTTCATTAGTTCCTCTGTTTCCTGTTTGGTGAAAGACAATGAAATATGAAAGAGTGAAAAATCTGGACAAAACCATCGTGTTTGAGAAGCTGGAAACAGACGCATGACTCAGATCAATAACTGAAATTATACTCCGATGGGTTCCTGATGATAGATTCATTCCGGCGCTAATGATTTCCTTCTTTTCCCAAAGAGTGTATCAACAACCAGCTGACTCAGCGAACGCATTAATGCTGTATCAGTGTCACGTTGCACAGAGGAGTGGGAAACCCTCTCACATCTGCCTCCTGCAGTCATTAGCAGGTCATTCGAAGATTTTCTGATAACTTGATGGAGAGAATTGCAGAATAGCAACAAACTAGTGTAAAAAAAAATAAATAAAAAAAGCTGCACAATTGGGCCCCAGGCGATAATCCATCGTTATCATTTCTAGACATATCGTGTTATTGTTTTACAAATACATTTCCATATCAATGATTCTATTTTAAAAAATGTGTTTTTTTCAAGTTTTGCATTGCAATCAACATAAACGTGATTATTCTATATGCAGATTTGTATACATTTGATATATTGTGCTATGTATTGATGCAAAAGAAAGATAACACAATATTGTGAGTTGGATTTTAACCCGATCACCCAGGTCTACTGCAAAGCCACCACTGTATATGATGCGCCATTGAGCCCACACGGTTTAATAACTAGATATCTATATCTAATATCTAGTAACTTTCAAACGAGCGTGTGAAACGACTAACCTTGGCTGCTCTTTGGTTTATGGCTTGACCACCACAGTACAGGTGCGGCAGCTATCTTAAAACCGTCTTCTGTCTGTGGCAACACGGTGTGGCGAGATGAAGAAGCATATTTTTATAGGCCGCGATGACGTGAGAAGAGTTTTTGTTCCGTTGACTGATTTGAAATTCTTTGTGTATAAGAAACCAACATTAAGTGACAAAAGCGCAGCGCTCGTAGAATTACACGAGATACATGTTTGATTTTTCAACCGTGCAAAAAGTGACTTGGGGGCATTTACAGTCATGAGACACTGACATATGCTGCACGAACTCCTAACATTCACCTAACAAGGTGCATTTGTGAGAGCGGCTGCAGATGGAGGTTACCACAAGACTGAGAATTTTCCATGTGAGAAAAGTGAGATTCACAGTTCTTACTTGCCTCACAGCCCCCCCCCCCCCCACTGCCGCTGCTTTGTATTCTGCTCTATTGAGACTATTGTAGGAGGAGAATTGACATCTTTGCCTCTGCGATGATGGATATCTCTCTGCGTGATTGTTGATCTTTGGTGCAAAAATGCTGTTGAGAGAAGAAGCCACTTTTGCTTTTGGGTGTGTGTTTTCCTTTCTGGCAGTCACTGTCTCAACGCCGGTTTATCCATCATCTCTGTCACTTTTGTTCACCAGTTGCACTTCCCTTCTGTTGTTATTTAGCTCCAGGTCAGTGATTTCCATTTCTTTGTTGTAATCCCCCCCCATCCCCCATCCCCTTCTTCTTTCCTCCCCTGCAGGAAATTGGATGCCTTCATTTATGACGCCGCGGTGCTGAACTATATGGCCAGGAAGGACGAGGGCTGCAAGGTAAGAAATACATCTCCCATCATTTCGCAGCTCTGCGCGGCGACACACTCATACACAGTGTGCGACCATTGCCGAAGTCCCCTCACCCCGCGGCGACTGTGCGCTACGAAAACGACGACATCTTCAGCGTGCTCGACATCTTCTTGTGGGAGGGAGAACAACAACGGCAGCACAACAACAAGCGTGCCAAACGAGCCCTTCTACAAGAGCTACATCTGCATTAAATAAATCAAACATATCCGATGTATTTATGTTTGTCCCTCACGGGCTGTAGCTAGTTAATATTGTCATTTTTGGACAGCGCCGGTGTTGATTTATTTATAAGTTTGCATTTGATACAGCTCCCACAGCGAGAATGAAAATCCAGCCCAGCGATCATTTGTAATACGGTCGGTGGGAGGCCTGAGCTCCCAGCAGCCTCATACAACAGCCGCTGCTGCAGTAATTATAACAATTGATGTGGATCTATATTAATTCGTCTACTGAAACAATATCCCACTCTCCAGCTCTGGGATTTTTTTTTTTAGGGATGTCAATATTCGAAATGAACCTGTTTTGCTTTTATGCGACGGTGACAATAGACAAAGCGTATTGCAGAAATTTTCGTTTGCTCGTGGCATCTGTGTCTTTGAATGCGACTCTTAGGGGTTCTTGTGAAGTGTTGTGTGAGTGTTTACATGTTTGTGTTTTTTATTCCACAAGGTGATGACCATCGGCTCGGGTAAGGTGTTTGCCACCACAGGCTACGGCATCGCCCTGCACAAGAACTCCCGCTGGAAACGTCCACTGGACCTGGCGCTGCTGCAGCTGGTTGGAGACGGTAAGACAGAGGGGGGAGGGGAGGGGGTTACCGGGTTAAAAGGGAGTAAAAGTAGAGAGAGAAAGCAGCTGAGGCTACATCCACACTAATGCATTTTAGCTTTAAAAGGGATCAGTTTTGACAAGCACCGCGGTGGCCGAGTGGTTTACAGCCGCGCGCTACATAGCAGCAGCGTCCACAGTTTGATTCTGGACATGGATCTTTGTTGCATGTCGTACCCCGCCTCTCTCTCCCCATGTGTCCTGTCTGCCTCCACACTGTTGACTATCAAAAAAAAAAAGGCAAAAGAAATGCCAATGCCATGTTTACGTCTAGCGTCCATGCTAGTCAGGAGATTTTCGAGCCCTTATACCTGAGACTTTTTCAAACACTGCTGACCTCGTTTCAGTTTGAAAACTTTTCTTTAGTGTTAATGAGACAACTCATAGTCATAGACACTGAGACACCCATGTTTGCTCCCTCATTGGGTCTCATCAGCATCCTTCCCCGATTCGTCACACTCCTATCACTTGACCCTTTTCCGGGAGATAATAACAATCCCAATCATATGTTTTCCGCCACCATGGCCGCCTCATTCTTGTGTTACTTACAGTAACAGTTTGCCGGCAGCTGTCACGGAGACCTGCATTTTAACGCTGCAACCGCCTTTGCTGTTCCTCGTTCATTGTATTTTCTGCAACTAACCCACTGTAGATTAGACGATCTGCTTTGTGTTCACACCGGCACAGCACGTGGCACAGTGCCATGAGACATGAGTTGTGATAGTATATGGATGGAGATCGTTTCAGGTATGGAGCTGGACGTGGATGGAGATTGTCTTAGTTGTAAAACTGCCTTATAAAAGGAAAACGTATGAGTGTGGATGCAGCCTGAGTCTCTGGTGATTTTCCTAACAAGGAAAGTCTTTGAGCTATAAGTGACTCAGAAAGGCTGGTTAAGCCAGTGTTATGATGACCTACTACAATAACGTCCTTGGTTCACCTCTGATCAGGGACCTTTGTTGCTTGTCTTTCCCCCTCGCACTCTTCCCTCATATCCTGTTGCCCCTTCATTGTCCACCATCAATAAAAACTCTACAGGCCCCAAAAAATGAAAAGAAATGTTGGCGAATCACTACGTCTAGGCAGCACAAATGGCATGCTCAAAAAACCTTTGTCATGGTTTCCTGTGCACCGTGTCCTACTGACTTGTCCTCGTCTGAAAAAAAAAAAATGCCTGCATGGGTTGTTTGCCCAAATGCTTTACAAATCAGTGTTTATGTTTTCCTGACCTGTGGGCAGGAAGATATTGATTAGACTTGCACAAAGATGCAAGAAGCATAATGTTGTGTAAGTCACAGAGATGACACGTGGGTGGACAGTCGGTTGCCTGATTCAGTTTTCTCACTCTCTCTCTCTCTCTCTCTCTCTCTCTCTCTCTCTCTCTCTCTCATTTAACCATGACGACGATCTTTCCTCTAACCTCATCCAAGTAGACTTAGTTGCCAAAACTAAATCAAACTATAACCACAGAGGCAGAAGATTAAATAATGCTCAAGTGAGTTGTTTTTGGAACGGTCACGTGTTACATCAACCCTCAGAGAAAATGCAATCATATAATACTAAATTGTTTTCCCAATTATTTTGTGGTGGCAACACAGTCGCGGGTTGGATGACGTTCAGATGCAATGTTTTTGTTGGGGAGGGGAGGGGGTGAGGTTGTTTTTTGGATGAATGAAGCTCTACATTTATTAACAGCAGCTGAGTCGCCAGGTTGTGGTTGTGGTGGATGGCAGGCATTCAAAGCCCTCGAGTGTCACACCAGGGGTCCGCACCCTGAGTCCTGTCCGTTGTTTTAGGCAACAAAAGCTCTTTAGTTTTGGTTCATTGTGAATAAAACAGGTTGCGTCAGCAGTCACTGCGAACTTTCTCTGTTTTAAACCAGACCAGGATATTTTCCTAATTTTAACCAAGTGCTGTGAGCAGTGGCCTGCGGTGCTCGAACCAGTTAAAGCTACAAACACACATCAATCAGAATGATACCAAAGTGGAAGCGATGTCTCTCCTCAGCTCTGTCCCATAAAGAATCTGATATTGCGTGTTTGCATGCATCCGGCAGGAGATGATGAGGAAGACAGATAAAAGGCTCAAGAAAGAGGGAAGGAAAGGGAGAGAGAGAGTAACATTACAGAGGGTTAAAGGGAGCAACAGGAAGGGAGGTGTGATCTTTGTTAAACCTGTCAGATAACAAGTGTATTCGCTTTCTGTTTCTCTTTCTTCACACACTCAGTGGCACATCACACATTCTCCATCTCATCTCTTTGATTACACACTTACAGCCTGACTCCCTCTGAATTTATTTCCTGTGTCTGTTTTGTCTTGGCGCCGGCGACAGCAAAGGACACAGGCATTATGTTGTCGGTTCGTTCGTCTGTCTGTCCATCCCATTCTCGTGAACGTGATATCTCAGTAAAGCCTGGAGGGAATTTCTTCCAGCTCTTTCCTTAAAAAAAAGCTGAGTAGGTGAACTAAGGAAATGCTTATTCTTACCATTTTATAATTAGGGGAAGTAATATGTGTACTAATCATTTTATGCATCTGTGCCGGCGACTGCTGTGGCCAGAGGTATTATGTTTTTCGGGCTGTTCGTCCGTTTGAACGTCCCTCCGCACGTGCGTTCGTACGTCCCATTGCCGTGAACGTGATATCCCAGTAACGCCTTGATGGAATTTCTTCAAATTTGATACAAACAGATTCAAGGATGAACTGATTAAAATTCAGTGGTCAAAGGTCACCAAAGGTCACTGTGACCTCACAAAACACATTTTTGGAAGAATCATAGATAGATAGATACATACTTAATTAGATTAGTCCACTTCCTTTGGCTTAGGTGTTGTATAGCCTGATGGCAGTGGGAACAAAGGATCTCCTGAACCTCTCTGTTCTGCAGTGCAGTGAGATTAGACGTTTGCTGCAGCTGCTTCTCTGTCCTGCTAGAATGTTGTTGAGAGGATGGTTGATATTGTCCAAGACGGGTGCAGTAATTATGACAAAATACACTTGATATCTTTTATTAAATTCAACGTTTTCACTACATATATTGTATGAGTCTGGACAGACCTGGATGTAAACTGCAACTTGACTGGTTGGTGGAGGCGTACAGCCACTGTTTAAGTTTCACCTATAGATCTTTATTGTCTTGTTATGACATCATCCTTCCTCTTCCAATCTTCTGACTGTCTGAACATGCAGATGTTCCCTGTAAACTGTATGAGCTTCATTTGGCCATTTCACTTTTCTCCTCACAATTTAAATTGTTCTGTTTTTTTTTTTTACTAACGAGTAGATCATTTGACTTTTCTTTTTTTTCCTGTGTCATTTTATAACAGACTTGTGTTTGCACAATGCTGAATTCCTTCATTTGAAGTGTGTCACCTGTTGATGTTACATGTGTTAACCTATGTTACTGCAGTGGGTGTATGTAGTGATTTTATTTTTATTTTGTGAGCACAGAATTATGAGCTTCTGTCTCGATCAATATTGTTTTGTAATAGTGAGTTTTCTTAAGTTTCCAGACTCCCTTGAATTAAGTAGAAAAATCGTTCCTGTTCTAGAAACTGCAGCTCAATGTTTTCATAAAGTAACACTACAAAAGGCAGATGACAATAGGTCTGAGAGAATGTGTTGGTGTGACGAGTTCAAATTGTTGCATTATTTTTATCCACCGTCATCCAAAGAACTTAGATGTTGAGTCTGATGGATTTTTAAACAATTCCTTATAAAAACTGGTCCAGAAAATAAAAAGTGGCCTTGTTTTGCTGCTGATGGGAAACCTTAACAGCAGCTAGCTGTATGATATAAGATGGAGGAGTGGAGGTGCACACAGCTTCTCCTGCTAGCTTTAATAGCATAATTAACTGGCTGCCATTGTTAACCAGTCTGTTTATGCCTGTTTGTGTCAATCACGGTCTCTTGATGTTCCACAGTCTTTCTTCTGTGCGTGTAAGTAGGCTGAAAAGCGATCAAAGGAAGGGTCGGGAAAGCCTGAATCCTTTAAGTTGTCCATTTCAACAGTCCCTATCAAAGTGTAAGAGTCTGCTAAATCCCAGAGACAGGTGAACAGTATTTAAATTACCACTTGGATTTGCTCACTTTCGTTCACACTGGTGGCTCTGGTTAAATAGAGCAGGATGAAGAGTGGAGGCACACGCAGCCGAGAGAGAGAGAGAGCCGGTGAAAACATTTTACACAGTGACCTTGACAGGTTCCAGTAATTTGGTTTGCAGTAGTAAGGAGGACTCTCAGTATTAAAATATTACCCCGTCTTTTTACATTTTTATAATGAAAGGGAAGCCATTTAGCTTCTGCTGGCATCAGTGGTCTGTGAGGGTGCCAGCTGTGCTGCAGAACATCTGTGTTCGGGGGGAGGGGGGGCTGAGTCTGTACCAACGTTAATTTTGAAACACTAAAGCTGTGAATGACAAGCAAAATAATCGTACTTACCCTACGAGTACCCCGTGTTGACATGCACATTGGTAGCTTGTTGAGGTCGTCATGCGTGTAGAGACTATGTATTGGTTTAAGAAAAGGTTAAGTGCTCACTCGTGTTCAGATAGAAACAAATATTTTATTTAAAGCTTCTGGAAACGTGATTTTAAACAATAATACAGCAGCAAACATCTATTTTCTATGTAAAGATAAAGTGGAGTAATGGCATCCTGAGCAGAGAACGAAGCCACACCCCCTCTGTTATTTGATTTGGTAGCCAGTCTAGTAGCACATGCATGTAAGTGCATGTACGTGTGCATGTGAGTCCCTCCAGTTTAACCGTTGGTCCTCCCCACATTTATAAACACACAGGCGCCACCCACAGGTGAGATGGCACAGTGCAGTACGAAGCATTCAGGTGAAAGCGACCTTCCAGAATTTCCTCCACTGAAGAGAAAGGCCTCAGACAAAGACAGAGATAAAACCAGAATACAGTCGGACTGGCCACGGGGACTACTGGCTCAAATCCTGATC